TGAAAGCATATATGAATACCTATGTATCTTGCAAAACGAACGGCCGCATCCACGGCCACGCCTCGACTTACACGCGGGCGATAACGCATAAATGACGCGAGACTGTTCGTGATGGCGCCTCAAACGCGCACGTAGGAGTGCTCATGCCACGTTCTGTTGTGTTGGGTGAGAGGCCGGACCTCGGTCTCAATACCACCCCTGAGTCATCGCCCTTCGGCCACGTGCGTGTCTCGGTTGTGCGGTCCTGGTCCTGACCTGTGGTCCCCTCCCCACCTCGTGTTCCGCCCCGACCTGTGACCCCTCCCCCCCCTCGTGTCTCGCCCCGGCCCGGCAGCCAATCAATAGCGTGCGCCATTTCTCATCTGAGTTTTCGCCGCGGGCTTGGCGGCGGCGGCCGCCGTGAGCCATCATAATCCACCAGCACATGCCTCAATCCCCCCATGTCTGGCCGCCGACTGGTGGGATCAATGCTACAAATTACTATCTTTCCGCAGCTCAGCCCTTAAAACTGGCGCGACAGCCACAAACGGAAAAATGCCCGCGCTCCCGAAAACAGCGTTGCTCTTCGTGGCCGTGCGTCCGTGGGCGTTCAGTTCAGGCTGGCAGAGACCAGGCGGCTGCTCGCTGCTCGGCTGCCCTTGGACCAGTAGTCGCTCGTTACTCACAGTGAGCTGGAACATAAGTCGGCTTTTAAGAACATAAGAGTTTTCCATCGGCTACAGTCACTGGTGATGATTTCATTCTCGAAATTGTACGCGTCGTCAGCGCTTCACGCTGGGCTGACTGTGTCAGCCGACAGTACGAGCCCAGGCCAAGCACTTCAAGCTGCTGCTTGCAACGACCACAGCGGGAGCCTATTATAAGAAGAGCGACCATCCCGCGGGACTCGCCTTTATCACGCCTCCACGTGGCACAGTCAGCGCACGCTGCTTGCTCAGTGTGCAGAGGTGCACGTTGCGCCCGCACCGGTGCCATATCGATCTGGTGTATCGAGCTGGTGTACCGACGTTCGGAGCTCCACACAGCAGGCGGCGGCCGGGCTCGACGACCCTGACAGTCCCACCTGTTGCCGCAGCTGCGGCCGTGGCAACGACGTCACTTGAGCCGGCCCCAACGCTCAGTCGGCCCCCGTGTCAAGCCGCGGTGCCTATCGTGGCACCCGCGCCGCCCAGCCCACCCGCCGCCGCGCCAGATAGCTGCGTCGCCGCCATCTTGTTCACGGTAATCGTGTCGACACAAGTGCCTTTCGACGTCAGGCTAGCGCGCACCGAGGAAGTGATCCAGCTGGATGCCGCTGGTTTTTGATAGTCGGGAAAGCGAAGGCCGTATTCTGCTGTTTGCTCAAGGCTGACTGAGCGTTGTGTAAATGTTATTGCGTTCTGCTGGTGGCGCAATAAATGCGAGCGATAGTTTGACGTTGACTAGGGATGACGCATTCTGATGCAATGTTAGGTCCTGCCCGCCTGGTTTGTTGAAACTTGAGTTGCCTTTGCTGGCGTTTGTAAAAAGTGGTTGTTCGGTTGAAGTGATTCGTTTTTATTCATATCGTGACTTCAGCACGTATCATTAAACTTTTCACGACTGGTGTTGCCTCAGAAATTATAAATGTCTTCTACTTTCTCAACACGCCATTTTGTGACACCCCACCGTCCACGCTGCCTCTTGATTGAGGACAGTCCCAGTCTGCTGTGTGTGATGTGGGAGCGCGACCATGCTTACTGGCCATGATGCAGATACGGTGCGGGGACCGACCGCACATAATATTAGCATCTGCGGAACCGGGTTAAGGGTTGCTGTGCTCAGGTCAAGCGTGACTTCCTTTGCGCCGGTATGTTATCCAACCGAATACTGACCGGGATAGTTTCTGGAGGACTTTCCGTGAGTTTGGACTTGGACCCGTTCGTGGGAGGAGGGGGGAGTGATTAGGCGCCAAGGAAGTAATGCCCGCTGACATGACCGACGGTTTTGACCGGCTCTTTGCCCTAGTTGGTCCAAAAATCGCAGCCGAGCTGGCGGCGACCAGCCACGGCGTCCCACTTCTCCCTCCGAGGCCACCGTGCGTAACCACAGCCGAGCTAGTTTTACGCCCTGTGACCTCACCCAAGGTTTCGAAGGCTGTGGGTGCATCGTCTCCATCAAGGGCTATTGGAATTCATGTTGTGCCGCTGCTTGCGCTAAAAATAACAGCTTCGCTGTCATACGAACCCACTTGTTTCATCAAGTCAGTTTTTCTACTACTACCCGCGTTTTTCCCTGTACGTGGAAGCTAGCTTCAGCTCTTCCCATTCACAAGTCCGGCGCACGTGACGTTGCCAGCAGTTTTAGGTCTGATCAATTCCATCTGTATCGTCCAAAAATATGTGAGAAGGTTGTCTGTCAGCGGTTGTCGGGTTACACTCAGGCCCACAGCCTCTTCGAGATCGTCCAGATCGACTCTGGACATGTCGCTGCCGTGTCCTCTATAGACTTAAGTCGAACTTCCGACAGCGCTGGCCACGGC